CAGACCAATATACATACAGGCAGGCATGGGAGAAATGACAGAGGTCTCATACAAGGGTGGTGAATAGAAACTAATCCCAAACTTACTCCAGTAATGTAAAACAAAGAAGAGTAACGCTGGCACTTCTCACTCTTGTTATCCCAGAAAATATAACACGCAACAAAAAAGAAAGTTTAAGACTAAGGTGGGGAGACGTAGTACCAGAAAGAAATAAAGTGATTCGCCCAGGAGATGCTGCATTATTAAGTCAGGTGGAGCCAATCCAGGAGTGGAAAGACACATTGTGTAAAACATGTTTGAGGGCACCCTCTATGTTGGCGCAGCAATTTTTCCTTAGGCAGGAGCAAGTTGACATGGGTATGCCATTCAGTAGTTGTAGGTGGGTTGGGTGATGCATTTTAACGCCTCCAGTTTCCTGGTAACAAACAGAAGTCTGAAAACCAGGGACATTGTAGCCTTGGCATGAGAATCCTCATCAATAAGACCCAATAAACAAACTAAACGATCAATAGGTTGGTGTGATATACATTATTAATAGTGGAGATAACATTTTCCCAGTACCGCAGCTGCAGTGCATTCTAGCACAGCATGAGGTAACACAATAGCGTGCATTGCAGTGCGCCCCCCCACCAACCAACAAACTGATAATGGGAATGTAAGAGCAGTACACAGAAGAGGGTCTTCTGGATTATAAATGTAACTCTATGCATCTGGTGGTGTCTGCTGTTAGCCAAAGTTAAAAAAAACAGCTGACAGATTTGCTTTAAAAAGTTTAGAAAATCCAAATGTCCCAGAATGCTACATCTCCCTTCAAATCCTGGATGTGTGGTTAGCAGCGCCTCTTAAAAAATGGTCATTTCGCTTGAATATTCATCTAGGTCAGGGGTCAGCAACCTTTTACACACCGAGTGCCATTTTTGCAACCATCAGACAACCGAGTGCCATTGAACAATAGTGCACCATGGTATTAGCAAATTTCAGTTTTTGTACTCATAGTTGTACTGCTAATAATAAGTTAAACTCACTAATTATTTGAATGTGTTTATCTTTCCTGGATCCGCCACTGCTCTGTGCACTGTGCTCTGACTAATGATGGGCAGTATGGTGACAAAATCAGGCGGGGAACAGAAGATCCTTTCAGTCCGGCAGGCGGGTGAGCGATTCTCCTCCTTCGGTCCTGCGTGCTGCAGGTAAAGAATCCGCCAGGCAGGACCTCGAGCAGACCGTCGAGGGCCTCCTCAGTGCGGCTCCGCGCACGAACGTCAACTGGTCACGTCAGGGAGGTGGGTGGGACTTCAATCTGACAGCCGGCTCGAGCAAGCTCTCAAATGCAAAAAAATTAGTTTGCGTGCCAGCTGATGTGGCCTCGCGTGCCTAGCCGGGCACGCGTGTCGGGGGTTGTCGACCCCTGCTTTAAAGTGATAATAAGGTCAAATTGTGTTAAAGCTATTTCAACTGCCGATTAAATCAGTTACGATAGATGCTGATCCTTGATGTTTAAAAGTTTTAGTTTCCTTCAAAATCAGCTGGTCCCCTGAGCACTGGTCCTGACTTCCTGTTTTATGGTGGCTTCTTACCCTTGCAGGGTCCTATGGAGCCACCCCTGTGTGTGCTAGTAAGCTGTGTGTGTCTCCACAAACACACAGACACAGCAAGACAAGCCACTGCCCCTCTCTTCCTTCGCTTCTCCAAGCTACTAGATGGACAGATTGAAGACTAGACTGTGCTCTCTCTTGTGATCTTATTCTGGACGGGAAGTGGAGAGTTGAAGCTGTTTGGAAAACATGATGACTGTAAGTGTTTGGGCAAAAATGTAAAAAAAATATTTGCTGGACAATAAATATTTGTTTAATATGAATTTATTGTTCAAAAAAGTTTGAGGGTAAATACCATTTCTGGAAGCTGCAAACGTTGTAAAGACAAATCCCTCCAGATTAGATTTGACTTTACAGACTATTATTCAAAATGTAAATGATCTAATTTTATAGACCCCACAGTAGAAATATTTCCCCAGGAATCCACATGTTGCATAAATTAGAAACGTTCTCTAATAATGAAGGTGTAAGGGAGCTAGAAAGATTATTCAGAGTTTGAAACGTAGGTGGCCAATTAAGAAGACGGAAAAGTTCTTTCAACAAGTGCTGTACCCAGCCTGCGGAGTGAGGGAAGAATACGAATTATTTCAATGTCATCAAATTGTTTGCCTGATGAAGGGACCTTATACAGCCCCAAAATGTTGTTTGCTTTGTGATATGATAGACTTGTGTCAATAAAAGACAAAGTTATATCACAGTTGGGGTGCGGGTGACTTTTTTTTATCTATGTGCTGTCCTGTAACACACACCTGCTGGAGAGTGCATTGGGGTGCCATCGAGTATCAGGTGCAATGCACTAGCATACCTAACGCGTGGTACCGTGCTGTGTGCAATCACATACACTACAGTCACATCACAGAGTGCCGGTGACTTTTTTTGTGTATTTGCTTGTGATTGCGGCGGCGACCGCTTGTCACTGCAGCACCCACGTCAAAATCTGGGATCTACCAACAGAGTGCGATGGGACACGTACAATATTTGCAGCACAGCACGCAGTACTGTGTTGTGATGAAAAATAGTGCATGCATTTTAATGTAGTCATTGCGGTATCATATGTTGCGCTGCTCTGCAATGCACCCTCGTCCGCTCACTGGGAGGTGTGTTGGGGGGCCACTGAGATTAAATGAAAATGCCCCAGCACACCTAACATGCGGTATCACGCACTGTGTAATAGTGTGTGCTAAGTGCACTGATCCCATCTGTTTTATGCAGTGCTACGATGTGAATAGGCCCATGAAGGTCTATTTATAAACGCTCTTGGGATATAAAAGGTATTTCACACTTCTACATTTTTAAAGTACCGCAGCGCTGAATACTGAAAAATGGCCTGGCCAGGAAGGGGGTGAAACACCGTGGCCTTTAAGTGGTTAAGTAGGTTTCGTATGACATTCTGTCTCAGTGTTACTTTGGAAAACTCAAAAACAAATTCTGCTTTGCTTCTGCAGACATTTGCTTTTGAGTTATTGAAGCTTTTTAAACACTGTAAAGCCAATGCCGATTCAGTACACAGATAAAATACAGGCTGGGCTTGCATCGCTTTGTGTCATGTTGTTTTTGTTATCCTCGGCAAGGTTTGGCAGGCATTGGCAATTTCCAAAGCTTGCCAAATGCCTCTCTGAATCCCCACACCCCACTAGAATGACAGCACATTGCTGTATATATAGGGGTTGGGCAAATGATATAAAAACTGCTCAGCCCTTCCCAGGAGGGATCTTCAAGGGCTTGATGCAAACCGAGCGTCACTGATGCCAGGGCATTTCTCACCCCATAGCTACATGTAAAGGGGCAGGGAATGCCCTGGCCGCAGCTGGTTGGGCCGGAAAGGGATGTGTCACTGACAGATTTGCACAAGCTTGGCCAAACTCGGTCCGCACAAAGCCCACGACACATCGGTACTGTCTAGCAGGGTGCATGAAAAATCCAGCTTCCCAGCTGCATTTACTGTTTAATGAAAAAAAGGGGTAAATTACGTTTCTTTTAAGATATTTAAGGCATGACTTTACCTTGAAAATGACTCTATCACTCTAAAAGATGGGTGGGCAACTCCAGCCCTCCAGCTGTTGTGGGACTACAAGTCCCATGAGGCTTTGTAAGACTCACAGTTACAGGCATGACTCCCAGAGGCAGAGGCATGATGGCATTTGTAGAAAAGCGCAGCTAGAGGGCCGGAGGTGCCCACCGCTGGTCTTAAAGAAAAATCAAGAGGCTTCAGATGGCATTTATTTAATTCACTGGTAATTCTAAACTGATGAATAATTTTGTGCGGGGAATGGTGCAAACGCAAACCAAATTCACCCAAGCGCGTGCAAAACTGTCATGACACACCCCCTCCTGGCCCATTCAGTTGCGGCTTGTAGCTGCGGGGAATGCCCCAGCTGTAACTGATCGTTCTGTGGAGGAGGGTGTTAGTATGACAGTTTTGAGTGCACATGGGTGAACTTGGTTCGCACCGCCCCCCGCACTTCACTACTGATGAGCTGTAAAGGTTTTTTGGCGCCTTCTATGGACAATTTGGGATACTGCCGTTTTTCACTATTTCACGGACAAACAATATTTTGAGGCTTGACATATTTTGCGTTTCTTACCCTGCTATTCTTTTTTTTTATTTAACAGAAAAAAATGGTGATTATATTGTGTTTGTGTTCATTAAAATAATTTTAGTGTTTTTTCCCCCCACAAAATATAGATTCTATAAACATTTGCGCAAATATCACACAACATAAAATTGTAACTACCATCATTTTCGTCTCAGCTTACTGTATAATATGATCGGTGGTCAACCTATGGCACACCTTCCAAAGAGGGCACACGAGCCTAGTCAGGGGTGTCAAATTCGTATCACCCGACGCACAGGCATGTCTGAGCATCGTGCAGGCAGTTTTTTTTCTACATTTAGCCCTGCTTCGGGTAAGCAGGACTAAATGCATAGCAGGGAAGCCGCCGCCCGTATTGTACAAGTGATCTCGGTGATGCTGCGATCACTTGTATGCGGCCTGCAGGTCCGCCCCCCCCCTCCATTGTTCGCCCCTGTGTGATAGCAATAAAAGGTAAGGGAAAAAAAGGGAAAAAAAATAATAAGATAAATACAAATGTAAAAAAAAATATAATAAAAATGTAAAAAATGATTTTAAAAAAGTTACAAAAACAATAAAGAAAAATATATTGTTTTGGGAGCTTTTAGTAAACGTTCAGGTTAATAATTCTCATTGCAGCATGTGTGTGACAATGAAAGAACTTGGTCCAGCAGTGAAAGTGTTAATGATTTAGTGTAGAAGTGTGCGCAGCTCTTATAGAGCGCCTCTAGTGGCTACAGGCTGACATGACATATAAAATCCTACACTGACAGCCAAAGGTGTGATGCCGGTGTTTGTCTCTCCTCCTCATGCATCCTTCGCTGTGACTCACCCGAGCCTCCTTCTCCAGCTGGCAATGCAGCGTGCTGCCCTTTAGTTTCTGTACGATATGTGCGATGCTCACTGACAGCTCCTCTTCTTCGCCCAGCATTGTGACAGCCGGCTCCTTGTTGCCTGCAAAGGCCGGAGAAAAAGGACCAATGGTTTCTTAGCAACCGGTGTGTGCGCAGCAGATAAAAGCTTCCTCGGCGCACAGATCTAATGTCCTTAGTTCCGAGTATCAGTTTGTCTGGGTTCACTATGAGGCGTTTTCATTTTTGTTTGGAGGCTTTGTGCTGGCTGGCCGTTGTATGTGGCAGATGTACAAATCTTGCCAACAATGTGTAACACATAAAAGGGCTACTTTACTGTTAAAATCACGATTGCATTCATTTAAAAGAGAACTATGGCCCAACCTTTTTTGGCCGTAGTTCTTTTTATGGTCACAGGGGGACATATACTAATGTCCTCCTGTGACCCAAAACTCAGCATATAGCGGGCTATTGCCCACTACATGCTGACAGAGCAGAGCCTCGCTGAAGCAAGGATGGATCCCAACAATATTGTCCACCCCACTACCTGACTGACAGCTGGCTCTCCCTCTCTGGCTCTCCTTCTTCTACATTTAGCCCTGCTCTAGAGGGAGAGCCAGCTGTGCCCGCCCAATCCTTCATCTATTCCACCAGTCAGCGTTTAGAGAAACGGAGAGTGGAGGGGGAAGCCCCTCCAGGGAGCGGTGACTGACAGTCACCGCTCTCATCTCTCTGATGATTGGGAAGTCATCGATCTTTGGTATGCGATCGCTCAGTTCCGATCAATAGAGCCGAACTGTGAGAACTTCAGTATCACACGTCAGCTCTAACCTTTATGTGTATTTCTTCTGTGTAATTAGCTGTTTGCCTGACATTTAGCTTTAACCACGTGATGACCGGGGTGGTAAACCCCCTTCCTGGCCAGGCCATTTTTCAATATTCAGCGCTGTGGTACTTTGACTGACATTTATTCGGTCATGCAATGTTGTACTGAAATTATTTTTTTTGCATGTGATATTTATTGAAATTTTCCAAAAATGTTCAGTCAGATATACATGTAAAACCGTCATAACAGCGTGGCATATGCTTAATACATTCAATGACATGTATTGATAGCGGCTATATACTGATATGACTCAACAGTATAGTAATATAGTATACAGTATCAGTATAGTAAACATCTTAACAACCCATAGTCGGTTGTTAATAATCCAGGAAGGGAGAGAGGAAAGACAAACAGACATTGCTTCACCAATATTATCGAATGGGTATGAATTTGGAGCACACCTGGTAAGATCATAGTGACATAGGGTAGAAACTGGGACAAACTGTGTGTCAAGGGATGTGGATCGTATAGTAATGGGTAAGGGAAGATCGCAACCAATATGGGTGCTAGTTATATGGCACATCTTTTAAAGGAGAACTATGGGGTCAGTGTTTTTCCCCATAGTTCTCCTTAGGGTAACGGGAGGACACAAACTAGCGTCCTCCCGTTACCCTAAGCTCAGTATACCGCGAGCTACAGCTCGCGGTATACTGAGACTCCGGAGCGGATCCCGACGTAGATGACGGGATCCGCCCAGCTGCGTGAGTGACAGCTGGCTCTGCCTATCTAGAGGCAAAGCCAGCTGTACCCTCCCCCCTCCGTTCCGCCAGTCAGCGCTGGCAGATCGGAGCGGGGAGAGGGGAATCCAGCCCCTCCCCCTGTCACGGCAGAGAGCCGTGACAGGATCGAGAGGTGAGCAAACCCGGTATGTGTTCGCTCACCTCCCGATCTACTGAGCCGACCTGTGACAGTCTCATATTGTAGGAAATGGGTGGGGGCAATATGGAATTTAGCGATCAGTTCATCGAGTTTCATGCAGTCACCTTGTGGTGTGAGTAAATCACATAGGGTGTGGATGCCTAAGGAAGACCACTTCTTGTAGACCAGGGAGTCGGCCCCTGCAGGAAAGGCCGGGGAAGAGGTTATGGGCATCCAGGGAGAAATAGTGCCCGGCATATAAAACAGCTTCCTGACTTCCCTCCACGTGATTACCGTATCTTTTATGAGAACATGGGATTTTAAGTGGGGAGGTAGGGAGTGTACGGAAGAGTTGAAATTAATTTTATACCATTTTTTGGGGCCACATATAGATTTCTTTTGGTGGTATTTAATCACCACTGCAGGTTTTTATTTTTTGCTATATAATGAAAAAGTTCAGAAAATGTTTAAAAAAAAACAGTTTTCCCTAAGTTATGTTATAAGATATTTATTAATAAACAATTTTTGCTTAAATATAAAAAATTAGATTATGTCGGGTAGATAGACACTAAACATGTCAATCACAAAAATAACTACCATACCTAAAATTGGCCATGGGCGAAGCTTTAAAAGGTTTTACTGCTCATCAATTTAGTGTAAACAGTGATTGATGGCCCTAGAATCATTACTCACACTCCTACGTTCACGGCGATATGTAACATGTGTGGCGTAATCGTTGTTTTTGCACATAGGCGCACCCGACGCGTAGTTACATTTATATGTGCGTGCCAGCGTGATCGGCTGTAGTGGTCGACTCCGTGACCGCTCGGCAATCCACGCGGTCATGGATCACGCAGGTGTGAACCTAGCCTTAGGTCAGTTCATGAAGTGTTTTCATGATGTCTGAATATTTTGATGAAATTTTTTGTATCTGTTTGCCCAGTGCTGTCTTCATCCTTCTGAAATCCTAGTTCCCTGATTGTTTTAGTAATCTACTGGTTGCAATAGGAACATACAAGCAGCAAGTGAAGTCTGATCTGCCTTCTTGTTTTGGGTCAGCGGCCCAGATAACTAGGCTTTTCTGAAGCAAAGGTCCCCAATGACAACCCATGCACGTGACCGAATGCGGGTTTCCGTAAATGCAGAATCCTTCAGATTGATACTTTTTCTCATTTAATAAAAGAGACACTCTTGAAGGTCATTTTAACACATCCCTGTAACTCTGCTACATCATTTAATATTCACTGTGCTGTTCTCCTATTATTATTCTTTTGGAAAGCTATGAAATCTTCTTTGAAAATCTTTTCTTGAAAAATAGAGTTATTTAATTTCCGGTAACCTTCCCCACAAACCACAGTGCTTTTCAAGTAAAGTGCTATAGGTAACATAAAGTAATCAGATAACTCAGTGCAAATGGATAGAATTTGTGTCTTTATGATAAGTGTAAAAAGAGCTATTGGGGGAAAAAAACACTTTTTAGGAGTTTACCAAGTGTGCTTGCTGAACGTAGCCTACGTAGTGATGCTATATAGCAGGGGTAGGCAAAGTTAGACACTGCAGCTCTGGTGAAAATACAAGTTCCATGAAGCATTGCAAGACTCCTACAGCCACAGGCATGACTCCTACAATTACTTTCACCACAGCAGGAGGGCCAATATTTGCCTACCCCTGCTATATAGTCTGGGAACCAGGGGTGAGCCAAGGGCAAACTCTCTACCAGCTGGTCAAAAAAGCAGGTTCTCAACATGGATTCTAGTTCTAGGATTACCAGGTCTTCGTCAGAGCCACTGATGGTGTGAATGGACTTGTGCGTCTGGCAAACCTTGACAGTGCCCCCTGTGATCTCCTTAGCAGCAAGCTGGACGTAGCACACAAAAGGTTATTCTGGACAGTAGTCAAAAAAATGGGGAGACAAACCAGAACAAGGTACTGAAAAGCAAGAGTGAGAGTAGTCGAGGTGTGTAGCTAAGATCTGAGTGTCTAAGCCATAGTGTTGAGTAGGACTGTTAACAAAAGCAAGGTCAGGGCTGGAGGTGTTCTATGGAGGTCAGGTCAAGCAGATAATCATGTCCAGAAAGTCTAGCAGGTCAGGAAGAAAAGCCAGGAACCAGGAATGGAAACAAACAGGGAAACAAGAGTACAGGGATTGGCACTAGGATATGACTGGGGAATTAGTAAACCCCCGATGACAGGACGACAAGGGCAAAGACTGTGACTGAGTTTGACACCAGGATACAAGACACAAGAAAAATACAAGATATCAGGATCACTTCCTAGACTGGAGGTCCACACACATCTTATGATAATCGTACGATAATCGCGGGAAATCCCGCGATCGTACGATTATCGTAAGGTGTGTGGAAGCCGTGCGACCTCTACTACTGTAAGGTCGCACGACTTTAAACTTACGAACATGTTTCAAAACCCGCCGAGCATCGTACGATGTTAGGCGGTTGTGTAGCATGTTCGTAAAATAAAAGCAAGACGGGCCGGTGTGCGCAAGCGCACACTGCCCGTTCGGCATTGCGGTCATCGGAAGCCCGCCCCTCAGGGGACGTGGCTTGCGATCATCGCAAGTACGATCTGCCTATGCAAGATAGGCAGATCGTACGTTTTTTTTAAGTACCTTACAACCATCGCAAGACAAAAGTCTTGAGGTGGTTGTAAGGTGTGTGCCTAGCCTAACGCTTTAACAGGCAACTGGAGCAGGGATAGTTGTGTCCTTTTAAAGGAATATAAAGCAATCAAAATCTTAACCACACCTGTGCATGTGCACAGCCCACCTGAACAAATACATGGGACAGATACACTTGCATCGGAACACAGGAACGGGCCCTGAAGCCAGATATGACTGTCGGAAAGGGAAAACACAGCAAACACAGGCAGGTAGTGGGACCCAGGAAAGATAGGAACAGCGGCAACAGGAGGACACAGCAAGCAGAGCACTGGTAAGTTTTGGGCAGCCTGCCCCCGAGGGAGTGTCATTACCACTCCCTTCATTTATAGTATAATGATACAAAGTTTGTTACAAAACATACGGGGGCTGTTCACTGACAAGTGGGGGGCTGAGCCCTGAGTTAAGCTTTAACCATAGTTTAAAAAGCATAACTTCCGGACTATCAAATTATATATAAAACTATACACCAACTATACACCAACTAGCAGTTGAATGTTAGAATCAGATAACTAAAAATAGAAATAAATAAGTGCAGCATAATGCGGTTATATCACTGTCTACCAAAATAAATAAAATAAAACAGATAACAAAAACATACTACACATTACATATAATAGCCTTATAAAGTACACACAGATGTTAATTTATAAACATTTGTGGAGCAGATGCCGTTCGCATGGCACTAGTGTCAAGTGTAGTCCACACAAGTTTACATAAGTGCAAACAATACAATACAGTCACT